GGGCAGATACCGGTCGCAATGCTAGAAAGTGTGATCTAAAATTGGACCTTCCAAATGGACCTTGTACGGCGTAGTCGCGGCCAGCACTTACATAAAATTATTTTCAAAAAATAAATGACAAATATAGTTCTTTCAGGTCATAATAAAGATGCCGCCATCCAATTTCATTTTATATTTTATTTAGAATTAAACAAAAAAGGTCTAAATGAATCACCCTATGCTTGGTAAAAATAAACATATTTTTAACACATGCTCTAATTGAGTTCCTTGGGTTAGTTGACAATATCCAAGATGTCTAATAAATTCTTGAGTTACATTTGACAATATATCTAGCTAATGCGTTGAATTACCGATGGAATTCTCTCTTTAAGGTCTTTCAAATTGGAAGGTCGGTTTACGTAAACTTTATTTTTTAAGTAATCCCAGAAAAATAAATCTGTAAGTGTTAAATCTGGGGATCTAGCAGGCCATTTAATGTCACAACGTGGCCCAATCTAACGATTAGAAAAATTTTCATTAAGAAAATCTCTAACGATTAGAGTATAATGGGGACTTGCTCCATCGTGACGGAACCAAATAGTAGAATTTATTTAACCAGGATGATTAATGACTGGATATGTCATAGTTAAATATGGAACTACATGAGTTTCCAATATTTCCAGATAATTTTCACCCGTAACAGTACCGTCAAAAAAATATGGTCCTTACAATGGCATTTCTAAGAGCCACATAATTACTTTTTGAGGATATTGGATATAAACTTCCATCGCTTAATTGAGATTTTATGTTACCCAATAGAGACAATTTTGCGTATTTATGGTACATAAAGTTGATTCGTCCGAAAATAAGATTAAATTCAAATCCATTACTTTGATTACACACTTGCATTATTTCACAAAACTGTTTGCATCTATCAAAGTCCTCTTCATTAACCTTAAGTATAAGTTTAACTTTATATGGATGTGATTTGGCTTTTCGAAAAATAATGTCATGAACAGCACTAGGACAGTTCGTTGCCAGTTAAAGTTGTATTTAAACAATGAGGATTTTCTTCAATATTAAGAAACACATTTAATTGAGTGATATCGGAAACAGTAGGTCTGCAACTCTTAGACTTATTCCTAACATTGCCAGTCTCATTAAATCTATGCAATATTTTACATACCGTCTATTTACTTATTGGTTTTCAATCAGGATATTTTTTATCGAAAATGTCGCAAACTTCTGCCATACTTCTTTTTGCAATAACCTTAACCTAAGATTATCAAAACTTCTATTTTCTCTTTTTCGTACAGCACCATCGTATTTTCAAATTTTTGTTAAGGCAATATTATTCAGAAAGACAATATTGATTTGTTATAATAACTAAGAACTTATTGTCTGGTTGTTAGGGGGTTTTTAGGTATTTTCATGGCCTACTCGAAATAACTAGCAGAGTAATTAGCAGGTTTACATTTCAAAATATAATAGAAAGTAATTTTTATTTATGGGTTATATCATTTGTAGAGTTCCTTACGTACCTTGCATTTACTTCGTGTTTTTCAACCATTTTTTTGGTTAAGCAATCTAGTAATTTTATTTTAGTAAATATTCGTGGCTTTGGTGGTTTTGGTTTCGGCGTTTGCGAAGAAAAACTTTGTGGATTTTTAGGGACAATAGAAAACTGTTCAACTCCTACCGATCTATGTAGGGATTATAACTTAAACTCTACTTTTTGAAGATGACACTGTTTTGTTGGATTTGATTAGTGTTCAATGACGTACGTTAATTTGGATGAGATAAAGATGGTCGTTTTCGTCTACCGCTAGTTTTGGGATTATTAGAACTTTTTCGACGTCGTTCGCCTAACCATTGTTGCCAAAAAAAGAAGTAAAGAGACTACCAGTGTTTTAATACCCTTTGCAATAATCTTTTTCGGATAAAAGAGTACTAGAGACTGGTTTCACCGACTGGCACAAATGATGACTGATTTCACCGACTTGTACAAATGACTGTGTTGTCTGATTTTACGTCTTGGTGTAAGCTGCTAGGGTTCTACTACCACCACATTAAAAGTGAGGTCCGAGGCTCCATTCATTAGCTTCTGTTTGACATCTTTTTCCATCATCGGATGAGATTTGCAGATTTATAACTGTCGTGTCCACTGATGATTAATACTAGTCGTGCAAGGAGGTTTTATTTAATTTCATTACTTTATCATTCCTACTTATGGCCTAGCAACTATAGTATTTATGTGTTCTGCTTTCAACTAATAATTTCACAAGTTAAATGCGTCAGTATTTCTGTTTCCTTAGTTAATAAGATTTTATTATTTAGGAAATAGTAATTATACGATTAAAATCAAGTGACGATACATTTTCTTTACTCTGCCGTTAACACATGATGTTACACGCCTTTGTACCAACAATTGTGACCTTATTGTAGCATTGAGTTTCACTTAATTATGCGGTAGGTGGATGGAGTATCTATCCCATTGGAGATAATATTGTTTTGATTTCTGTCCTAGTAACATATATTGTTCACTATAATTGTATATTTTACTAACGCAATAAGAACATTTCGTGTTTTAGTTACTTTAAATGGGATTGATCACTTTGGCTACATTTGTTCTAAAGCCTGGTGGTACCGTTATATACATTGAAGGGACTAGTGTTCATTAAAGAGTATAAACAGGAGTTTTTAGCTTCATATCAATACTAATGTTTATTCAATTTAGTCTGGGGACAAACATACTACAAATCCAACTGACACCTGCAATTTTTTACTGTTGATTTTGATACTAGAAGGACCATGTTTTTCTTAACTCAGAGCGAAACTGGAGCAAGAGAATGTTCATCAGACAGTTGAGATTTGTTTCGTTACTATTGGTACTTCATACAGTTATAATTGCCTATAACAGTTTAATTTATTGCCAACAATTGGACCAGAACTTTGATTACGTTCTGCTATAAATCCATATAACAATATTTTGAAATTCAAGATATCAGGTGCAAATTTTAAGATATTTGTGGAAATCTGTATAGATCGATTTTTATTTTTAGCTTTCAAAAAAAGCAAAGAATTAACTTGGGTTTTTATTTAACTATCAATAGAGCTTACGTTTCAAGAAATATATTTTGAATCCTATGTTTCAAAAATGGGCCATCATCAAGATTTTTTTAAATATCGACCTATACTTTTAGGGCATTTTATGAAAATACTACTTAATCGCAGTACTGCCATGTAATTTACATTAATATTTTTAGACTATAAAATGATTATGAGAAAAATTTTGAGTACGGATTTGTTTATTTTCTTTGCCAATTTTTTTTATTATTAATATTTATTACCCTAAATCACAAATGCTGGTTCATTCTTAAATTATAATTTGAAGGTTGAAAATTATGTTAGGACAAGTAGTTACTTACTTGATAAGATGTCTCTAAGTAATAAAATAAATATTAAATATTTCATGCAAGATAGTTGTGGGCCACACAACTCTAGAATTATTTGGGAATATCTAAATAGAGGCTTTCAAAAAGAGTGGATTTAAATCGATTAGATTACTTTTTGTGGGATTACTTAAAAACCTGGTTTAATATAACGGTATTCCTCAAAATGTAGAAAAACTAATAAACCACTTTCAGGACATTTTACGCCTGTCATGATTGTTCGATCAACAAGCCATTTAGAAGAGTTAATTTATGTCATGAACTTTGGGAGGATACATTGAACATTTAGTGCATAACTAGAATTTGTATCACATTAGGATCATTTAAATTTTATTGTAATTTTTATGATTTTAATTGAAATACATGTACTTAAAGTGACAAAAGTGTTTTGAGGCCATTTTTAGTATTAAATTTTAGTATTAAATTTGTTTAGGTATAAAATAGAGAACTAGTTTTGTTTAAATTTATTTATTTATTAGCGGACCCGACAGACTTCGTTCTGTCAAATAGATTTGGAATGTGGCAGTTTTTTGTTCTTACCTATTTTATAGTCGGCGTAAAAAATTCTCCTGAACAGAACCGTCACCCTGATGATAGGGCGGTGTGTGCGAGGTTCAGCGCGGGTGACCAAAGTATGTTCGCTTCCACGAACTTTGGCCACCCTTCTGCGACCCACTAAAAAACCCCGACTGGGATGTCTGCTAGAGGGCTTTAAACTAAGAGGCGAACTTAGGGTTCAAACCTGATTGGAAAATAATCTAAAGGGACAGTGGCAACCTAAAGGTGACAAATATTTAAAAATTATGTGCCTCAATGACATAACATAGAGATAGAAGGGTTATTAACCGACATGATTGTATTTAAAAGTGGCGCATGTCTACGTCACAGAACGCGCGACGCGTCGTGCCCGATCGCGCCGATTTGGCCCGATCGTGACCGAATGTAAGTGAGGTAATTACCAAACTTTTCGTTGCCATTTTAAAGCGGGTATGGCGTACCTATAACTTTTAAAACATCTTATTGGTGCCTCGCTCGGATAGTGAAGATAATGATCTGCAAAAGAAGTCATGGGGATTTAATAAACATACTTACAATAATCAACAACTTATTACAACACAACTCATTCTGGTTATGTTCTTGTGATAGCATAGTTTATAATGGGTACATGCTGTAGTGACCTTATTAATTTGCAATACCACAATCCACCTGAACAGATGTTTGCGATACTATATATACAAAATCATGAATCTGTAATAAAAAATAATGAAATAAAACGTATATAAGCATTTAAAAGTAAGTAATCGCTTTATTGTTAATCAAGTGAATCATAATTATTAACAAAAATAAGTTTTATTTTCATTGTATTACTTTGTGATATACGATGTTTTTTGTTTGATTACCTGGCATATAGACAAATAAATCTGATGGTTTTCCAACACGGGAACAGGCAACATACAATTGATCATGTGAGAAACATGGGTTTTCTAGATTAATATCACAAACACATAATGATTGCCCCTGGGACTTATTTATGATCATAGCAAAAGCAAGCCGCACTGGAAACTGTAGTCATTTCAACTCAAATGGTACATCAGTCGGAATCATTGGGATGCGTGGTATCAAAACATCTCCTCTATATTTTCCTTTCAGTATAGTTGCTTCTATCACGTTGTTCAGTAATTTTTTTATCGCTAACGGTGCGCCGTTGCAAAGACGCTGTTGGTTGATATTTCGCAACATTATAACTACCGATCCAACCTTTAATTGAAGATTGTGAGGTGGCAATCCTGGCAAATCCAGCGAGTTTAAAAATTCCGGTGGACAGTTGACGACATAATCTTGGTTAGTAGCCGAATCAACTGATGTATATATCCTCAATTCGCCTGTAATTTGTTCTTGAATTTTGAAATTTAAATCATTACATCTATGTTTCTTGCAGCCAAAATAGCTCGTTCGCTCAACCAATCATGGTTTCTGGAAACACCTTCTGAATAAGTTTATCTTTTGATCGAGTTAACTGACAAAAACTTTGAGGAAAGTTAATGCAGCCAGTCAACATGTCTATAGGAAGTTTGCCATAACCAATGTCAATGAGTTGTTTAGAGAATTTATCTCCAGATTGGTCATTTTGCAACTCGACACGCATATTCATGCTTAAATGTAATACCTTAACATGTTCCCACAAATTGGAGGACTTTAAACATGCATTGAGTTCATCAGCTGGCGTTGATCGTGGAATCACTGGCAATGTTTGACGAAAATCTCCTATTAATAAAATCATTGGATTACAAAATCGGTTATGATTGCTCCGTAGATCTTTTAAGGTTCTATCTAATGCCTCCAAAGATTTTTAATGTGCCATCGTGCATTCATCCCAAACAATCAATTTACATTACTGCAAAACCTTTGCCATTGCAGAGTTCTTCGAAATGTTGCAGGTTGGAGTTTCACTGCTTTACATATTTAATGGCAATTTTAATACTGAATGGGCTGTTCGACCACCTTCAAGCAAAGTTGTTGCGATTCCTGACGAAGCGAGTGCAAGTGCAATTTTATTTTGTGAGCGAATTGTTGCTAATATCAATGAAATCAAAAAAGTTTTTCCTGTACCACCAGGTGCATCTAAGAAGTAAATCCTCCAGTTTCATCATTTGTTACTTTCATAAGAGCATCAAATACATACTTCTGTTGTTCATTCAATAGTGGAAGATTTGTTCGAATTATTTCTTTCAAAGTGTTGAGATCATACAGTTTTTATCGGTGCAACTCTTGGTTAAAAGTATCATGCACTGAACGATTGGGCGCGGCCAGGCCTAAGTGAAATATTAGTTTGTTTGACATCATTAAGCACATGTCCTTAATTGAAATCAATGCTTCATTGTAAATTTCTTCGCTGATTGGTATATTTGGATTTCCCGTTCTATTCCGTATTTGATACAAAATGTCATCACAATGTTCGTATTTGATGAGCTTGTGATGATATTACAGCATCATTGAGAGTTTGATCCTAATGAGCGTCCTTTTCTAGCAATTGCAAACATTGACAGGCTTCTCTGTAGGATCCACACAATTCACCATCAAGAGTTCGTAAATGTTGGAATGATGTTGGGCCACGTACATTGACTAATAGCACTCGTAAATAAAAACATTCATCATTGCTTGGATGTACTGAATAAATTCGACCAATCGCATCGTTAAAATATACATCTGGGTATTCTGGAATTGGTTTTCCTTGTTTTCGTCGTATAAATCTCCTTGAGGATTGATTCCAAGTATAATATTTTGGCATTTCAGAATATAACAATGTTTGTGCAAAATCATTGTTTTGGCATATCTCAAAAAAACTGGTTAATGTAGTAGATAGTTGCTGAGCAGCTCTTTGTACTGCGTTCTGTGTTGTAAAATACACTCTTTGTCCATTTTCTAAGTGCACAGCTAAGTGAACAACAAAAGGGTGTCTCTCATAGATAGGAAAAGAAAATATTCGCCAAACTGCTACATTACTACTAACACAGCGGCCCATTTGGTATTGGGTAACTTCATCATTGGGAATTCTCTGCATCAATTCCAATCACAGCCATATCACTCCCTTTGCAAATGTATTTAATAGATTTCACTGAATTGTAAGATTCAACGTTGATGTGCGCTTTGAAGGTCTTTTTAAGATGAACTTTATTGAATAGCAACAAAGTTCAAATTGACTCTACATTTTAGTAAGAAAACGTTTATATGGGAAAAAGAAAAGGGCTGTTTTTAGAGTTTTCCCGGAAATTATTCGAATTTTTCTCGCCGTAAAAACCATCCTTTCACTTCAACGAACATTTAAAAAAAAACAGAATTGGTAAAATAGGTCCATGCGTTTAGTAAGAAAACGTTTGTATGGGAAAAAGAAAAGGGCTGTTTTTGAAAGTTTTCCCGGAAATTATCTGTTTTTTGGGTTTTCCCGGAAATTATTCGATTTTTTCTCGCCGTAAAAACTATCCTTGGACTTCAACGAACATTTAAAAAAAAGAATTGATAAAATTGGTCCAGGTTTTTAGTTAGAAAACGTTTGTATGGGAAAAAAGGGCTGTTTTTAGGGTTTTCCTGGAAATTATTCCAATTTTTCTCGCCGCAAAAACTATCCTTGGACTTCAACTAACATTCATAAAAATCTGATGTGTCCAACACATGACTTTCCTATCTAGTTAACCTATTGCAGCATCTCTAAAAATGTTTAGAGGATAAACTAAATATATACATTTTCCACATACATCCACCTCCAAACATATTTCTATAGATATTCATTGAAAACGAAAATACTGAAAAATTTAAATTTAACACTTTTCCTCCAATTTTTCCATTACGGTCCATTTTAGAAAAGTCATTTAAAAACAAAAATTATAAAGATCGATATCGCAAACAACTTTTAGTTTAACAATTTTCTTAAAAAACAGAATTTTGCACATTTTGTCAAATTTCTCGAATACGGACCATTTCAGGAAAATTTGACATAAAACAAAAATTATAGATAATAATATTGTAAGTAACTTTTATTTGAAGAATTTTCTTCCCCAAACGTAAATAACGAATATATTCCATAAAATATAAAAATGACCACCAATAAAGTACTCCCCCCCCCCCCGAATGTTCCGACTCTGTCCAAACCCTAATCAGTTCACCTCAGGTCGAAATAAAACTTAAGTTTAAAATTTAATGTTTTTTCCTTTATCCGTTTTTGAGTTTTCTTCAAAATTCGAAATTTACACATTTTCTCAAATATCTCGAATACGGTCCATTTTAGAGAAATTATGTATGAAATAAAAATTATAAAGAATTATATTACAAACAACTTTTATTTGAACAATTTTTATAAAAAATTATTTTTTTTACATTTTGTCAAATTTCTCGAATACGGACCATTTTAGGAAAATTTTGCATCAAACAAAAATTATAGATAATTATATTAGAAGTAACTTTTATTTGAAGAATTTTCTTCTCCAAACGTAAATAACAGATATATTCCATAAAATATAAAAATGACCACCTATAAAGTACCCCCCCCAGATGTTCCGACTCTGCCCAAAATCTAATCAGCTCATTGGACGCTAGAACAAAGCTTAAGTTTAAAATTTGGTGTTTTTCTGTGTATCGGTTCATGAGTTATGCGTTATACAGACACACACACACACACACACACACACACACACACACACACACACACACACACACACACACACACACACACACACACACACACACACACACACACACACACACACACACACACACACACACACACACACACACACACACACACACACACACACACACACACACACACACACACACACACACACACACACACACACACACACACACACACACACACACACACACACACACACACACACACACACACACACACACACACACACACACACACACACACACACACACACACACACACACACACACACACACACACACACACACACACACACACACACACACACACACACACACACACACACACACACACACGCACACAGACATCATCGCGAAAATAGTCAAAACGGATTCAGGGGACCTCAAAACGTAAAAATCCGTCGAAAACTCGAGGTCGAAAAAAATCATGATTCCTATACTTTCCTTATATCTGTATACAGATAGGAAAGTAAAAAAGAATTGGTAAATTGGTCCAGGCGTTTAGTTAGAAAACGTTTGTATGGGAAAAAGAAAAGGGCTGTTTTTAGGGTTTTCCCGGAAATTAACTGTTTTTAGGGGTTTCCCGGAAATTATTTAAATTTTTCTCGCCGTAAAAACCATCCTTGTACTTCAACGAGCATTTAAAAAAAAGAATAGGTAAATTCTGTACCATCCGTGAATAAGTGGATAAGTCAAATTTTAGTAAAAATGAGATATCTACATATATCTATAGTATTCTTCCCATTCTGCCTGGTGAATAAATGGGTCATTCAAATTCGCAATAGTTTACTTCAGAGGACGCCGTGAATAGTTGGATTTTTCGAATTTTTTGTGCCAAATATAATTTTTAACTATTTACATAACTCAACAAATTGACTTATTCACTTCATCATATTTAACATGCATAAAAGGTGTAGTATTCCTTGTTATTGTTAAGTGTTGCACGGCAATGTGCAAATATAGTTATAAAATATTAATAGTCGAATGTCAATGTTAAAAGAAGCTATCAATATATTTTTAATTCCTTATGGTCTCTCAATCTCCTTTACAATTCATCCTAAGGAGTTACAACAAAAGGTATATCCACTTGTCTAATATTCAAGAGTGTTAATATTTGTGTGAAATAATGTAACTCAACTTGATTATCCGTGTACATAATATTCAGTCGGTGAACAACCAGGTATGTCGAAATACTCGCCTAAACACGTTGAAATTTGATTAATTTAGTCGATATCTTGAATTACCTGTTTATAAACATGACAAGAGTAACAGCGGGAAAAACGTTTGAATGGGAAGTAACTAGGTAAGTAATAATAAGTCGCCCCAGTGCTCTCATTTTGTTGTTTTGAGTTTTTAAGGTTAGGAAGTAAGTAAACAGTGTGCCGGTAATTTAATGATTATTAGCTATTTTAGCAGTTAAAAAAAGTCAAAACGATCTAAACGAATTATGAGAAATGCCTTGGAAGTGTTTATGGAAAACGATAAGTCTGAACGTAGTCCTAAAGATCTTGTACCTACCAGGTAAGTGTTTTCTGTAATTACTGCTCTGTTTGACAATAAGTGCAGGTACCTAAAGACGGTGTTTAGAAGCTAGGACAATCTGTCAAAGTAAACGCATCGTACTGTACTATAATAATGCGTGTTGCCAAGTTTGTAAAAAATCCTACAAACTCCGTCAATAAAAGAAATTGCAACAAAATGTAAATTACTTTATTTTATATATGGTTTTTATTTTCAGAAATGAATGAAAAACTAATTTTAGTTGAGGATAACATCCAATGTTTTGAGACAAATCCTGCAATCGTAGAGTGTTTTAATGCTAATCCAGTTCAATCGACTAGTTCTTATAATTTAATTGAATGCAACCAATTTAACGATAATATTGGTCCGTCGACAACTGCTCTTGATTTAATTGACGGCAATTTAAACCAAATTAGATATGTTTTTGAATCAGATGACAGCATCGCTGATCTGGAATATTTTACAGACATAGGAACATCTAGCGATGAAAGTGATGATCAAGAAACAGGTAAAGATCTTTATTACTTTAAATCCGTATTACCTTAATAAGCTTTTTTTTTAAAACTCCAAGGAAGAAAAAATGTACAGAAAAAAATGATAGGTTGAGGATGCAAACTTAAACGGTGCCACTGATAAAACTGAGAAAGAAAATGAACCGGTGCAAAAAATGCCAAATATTGCGGAAAAAACTTCGGAGAAAAAGAAGAAACAGGGCAGGACACAAATTCAAAGACAAGAAAGTAAAGAAATAAGAAATGCTGGTCAAAGTTATACAACTGAAAAAGGAAAAGTTGTAAAGTCTAGAAATATGAAGCATTACACGCATGTCGTCTAAAATGTAATGCGATGTTCTCCGGTGAGGACCGGGATAGATATAACTTGGGAACTTGGGAAGTCGCAATAAAAGGGTAAACTATATAGCTTCTCTAATTAATTTAAATGAAAAGAAAACAGAAAAGCTAGGACCAAGGAAAAAACATAGGGAATGTTCATATAAGTTTAGCATCGTTATTTCTGGGACACAAAAGCCAATTTGTAAATCTTGCTTTATTGCAACGTTTGGTGAAATAAAAGGATTTGTTGAAATAGTAGCAGAAAAGAAAAAAATATCATTCTCTGGAATCATTCCACCCGATAGTCGTGGAATTGCACCTTGAGGTAATAAGCGATCGGAGAAAGAATATTCAAAACGCCAAAGATCACATTTTGTCGTTTCCCAATTATGAAAGTCATTACTGTAGAAACAGAACATCTAAAAAGTACTTGTCTATAGCTAAAATGTATGACATGTACAAAGAAACAGTAGACAAACCGGTCTCATTAACATTATACAAGAACTGCTTTTACAGTTAAAACTTGCATTCAAGAAATTTAAAAAGGATACTTGTTTTAGGTGTGATATTTTCCAAAAAAAAAAAAAATGGTCCCTGAGGGCGAGGAGGAAGATAATTTGACACAAAAGAGGGATAAACACCATCGATTGGCAGAAAATACATACAAGGCAAAACAGATTGCTAAGGAGATTGTAGTTTCAGATAATAAAAAAAAGCTTATACATTTGATCTTCAACAGTGTCTTCCTACACCCTTTTTAACAGCAAACACTGTCTTTATAAACGTCAACTATGGACGTTTAACCTTACCGTTCACGATTTAACATTAAATAAAGTTACATGTGGGACGAATCAACTGCTGCAAGAGGTGGCAATCAGATAGCCTCTTGTATTTACCGCCTTTTATTGGAACTCCGTGATGTGGAAGAGGTAACTTTCTACTCGGACTCGGACACTTGCGAAGGCCAAAACAAAAACCAGCAAGTCGCTTTTATGTTCAGCTTTGTTTTATCAAAATGTCCCAATATCAAAATTAAAAATTACAAGTGCGGTCACAGTCACATGGAGTGTCATCCCGATCATGCCCTCATAGAGAGAAAAAAAAAAGAGAACTTATATGAAGATTATATAACAGTCAAATCGGAATAGTCAAGTATAAACATAGTTTAGACGTCTCGCACCCTTTCAAGTCTGAAAATTTTCGAAGGAGCGGAAAGCACAATATACCAAGCACATTGCCCCAAATCACAGACAAGGTTTTGTCTATTAGTAAGAAAAAAAAGCGTTTTTCAGTTTTTTTCCCAATCAAAATGTATGGTATTTCGATTAGTTCAATTTGCTTCTTATAAATAAATAAAAATATTCATAAATTTTCGTCCCGTTTATTTACATTAGAATAAGTCAGGTAACTCAACAACAACAGCCAAATTTTGGGGTGAATAAATAGTGAATAAATAGTCAGATTTTTTTCATTAATATAATTTGACAGATCATAATTACGTACATTGTTGGTTGCATAATTAACAACCTATTTTAAAAAAAACGAAGCTCAACTTAAAATTAGTATTTTTCGAAAACATCAAAATGTTTAAAATGGCCATACTGAAAAACTTCAATTTTTGACTTACCGACTTGTTCATAGATGGTACAGAATTGGTCCAGGCGTTTTTGAGTTATGCGCTTACCAACACATTTTGCGATTCATTTTTATATTATAGATTTATCAGAAACATACGGGTGGCCCTAATTACTGGTTTCTGTAATAAAAATTATTTTATAATGACGTAGCAATTTTCTGCAATATAATACTATCACAATAATAATATATGTGTTAAGGTCAGAGATATTTTGTATAATTAGGTAATACGTATATTGGATGTGATATACATTTTAAACAAGGACAGAGATCTGTGATGTATGTGTTGTATAACTGGCATATTTGATTTAAAGTGTTGTTGTTGTTGTTGTTGTTGTTGTTGTTGTTGTTGTTGTTGTTGTTGTTGTTGTTGTTGTTGTTGTTGTAGGTTTTACTAAAAAATAGTTGTGCCCTGGGACGAGTTCTGTCATCAGCTTCATAAAAGTTGAATTTACTTTATACATTAGGAGAATCAATTAGATGGTTACATAATTTATATAGAAGTATTAAACTTCTATTCTTCAGTTTTATAATATTGAACTCTAATCTTAATGGTGGTAAGACATGACCGGGAGGCATATTCGTATACTGCCGACACGTTAGACCCTCGGAACAGTTCGGTGCCCCGAATGACAAACTCGTAAAATCCCGACGTGTTAGAACTAATTCGTCGGCAATTTCCTGGACACTGGATATTCTTCACTCATTAAAGATAAAGACAATTTCAGTTTTCGTTTTCTATTGTCTTTATATGCAAGTCTCTGCAAATAATTTTTTAATTTATTATTGGTGACACAATAGGTGATTTTAAATAAATTAACTTGGTACTTAATAGATTCAAAATGAATTTAAAGACAATACCTAAAATATACCTATAAAGAGACATCAGAAAATACAATTAGGTTACAAATAAGCGATAAAAATGAATTTCAGGTAAGTTTTTTTTAGGATATAAATCATTAATAGTTTGGTGGCATTTTACAGAATTCTTATGAATCTGCATTTTGACTGTTAGCTAGAGTTTACAATTAACGTTTATAAATGTTTTGAAATTCTCGTCAAAAGTTTCATTTATTTTTTTTTTAATTAGGAGAGTATGTTCTAAAAATAATAAAAAAGACTCTTGTTAATAATGATTACAATTAATTAACCTATTTACTTAAAATAAAAGTACAAATAAAAAAAGCACGTATGGTAACACAAAACACTTTATTGCTTAACGAGTAAGGAATTGTGCTCATTTTCTAGCAGTATAATATTGTGTCATCATATGAGAAAATGAAATTATACGTCACATTATGTAGATGTCACATTAATTCTTAGCCGAAAAGTGTGAAATCGTAGTTTTGTCGTACAGTCGTACAAAATAAAACATATATTGTTCAACGAGCAAAGAAATGAGCTTGCTATTACACGTTTATCAATTTAAAATGACAGCTATCTTTTAGATAATTATTCAAATATATGACCTTACAAAGTACATTTTATTTTATTAAAACAATTAAGGAATGTCACACAATGTACTTTATTTCGTAAAAAAAAATAAGAAAATTTAGTATTTTATTATAGCCAAAGAAAAACATTATTAATTGTCATTTTAATAGACATCTACCGGAACGGAAAAGGGTAATTTTTTATTTAGAACATAAAATAAACTCGGAGGTCAGTTTGGGCGAGTTAAATCAATACCTTTTTAGGAGGTATTGGTTAAATTGGAAATTAGAAAAAAAAATGATTCTATCGTGTGGGGTGTCAAATTAAAGCTCGTTGAAATACAATTTTAAAAATGTATAATAAGTTCGTGTTGTTTTTTCTTCGACACTTTAAAAAAAAAAATATAAATTGCTGTCCTCCCAATTTATCTCCAAAAGCGTCCACCATAAAAATCTAAAATAAATTAAGATTGAATTTCGTTAGATAGATTTTTTATATAACTAATACTTCGCTCTTGTCCTAAGGGTCGATACTTCTACCTCTGAGTAAACAATATCCCTGTAGTTTAATCAGCAAGTAGTTACTTTCAACTTTTTGAAAGCTTGCTGGAAATGTCTTAAAAGTGCTAAAAATAAAATTTCTTCAGATGATGTACAAAGCTGCTATAAAATCTTTCGAAATATTTTAGTATCAAAATCATACAAAGATCTTGAAAAATCGTGCTCAGAATTTGTGAACACGTGCAAATATGATAATTTCACAAATTACGTAAAGAACATGATGGAAAAAGCTGACACCTAGTGCCTTCTATATCGATAACACTTAGATACCACTAAGAAGAACGCATTCCAATAAAAAAGCAATAAAGCTGCGGCCTAGCACCTCGGATACCCACCCGCCATTTTGAAAATCCATAGGCTACACGAAAAGCACCAGGTTACCCAACCAAAATTTTTTCCGAAAATTCCAATCGAAGGGTAAACAAATTCCATAGAAACGACCAAAAGGAACCAAAAATGTAGCTATTTTTTTAATTCGGGCATAAATCGGGATATAAACAATTTTCCTGTAATTAGGGAAACAAAATAGACCTTAGGCGTGGCCCGCCTTAAAAAAGAAAAGATTTCGAATAAATATAGTTGAATTTTAGATATATAGATTATTAGATAAAAGGTTAAAAATAATTTATTTAATGCATTTTCTATTATATATTAAAAAATAAAAAAAAAATAAAATGTTTTCAAAAGAATGTGATGAATTTGTAAAGTGATGAATTAGAGTGTGACGAAATGTCGAAGTGGGGATAATTCATCCCGTGATGAGATGTCGCGTGATGAAATATTGTCATAAAACCATCAAAAATATCATAGATATTGTGATAGAAGCAATCTACTGCTATATTATTATCTTGTATACAACCTAAGTATTCCCAATTACAACCCCTAAGTAGTTCACATAAAGGAGGAAAGTTTGGTCTTTTAAAGTTATACTGGTTATTGAGTCGAGGTATATTTTTAACATTTTTAGTTATACTATAGCTTAAAGAAAAAGCTGGATGTTTTTTATCTTCAACTATTAGAGGATGTTGATGTTTATCTATCAGATA